GTTTTATTTTATTCTTTATTTTTGTTTTTTTGAGACAGTGTCTCACTCTACAGTTCAGGCTGGGCTTGAACTTACTTTGTAGCCCAGGTTGGCCTCGAACTCACAGTAATCCTCCTGCCTCAGCCTTTCGAGTGCTGGGATTATAGGTGTGCACCACTACACTTGACTATAGAGGTTTTTAAAAAAAATTTTAGGTAGCATTTTTCTCCAGGGTCTACTCCAAAATCTAGGCAGCCATATTATCAGAAATGGAAGTCAAATTGCACAATTTTCCAATTTGAAATCATCTATTCAAATAATTTAACATTTGCCAAAAGTAATACTGGAATGGGCTGGAGATATAGCTCAGTAGCACAAGCACCTGCCTGGAAAGCACAAGGTCCTGAGTTCAATTCATGGTACCAAAAAAAAAAATAGAATGAAAGTAATACTGGAAACATAAGACCACTCAACAAGAGTGAACATTTCATCCTCTCCAGCAGGTTACTTTCCTTAGTGCATCACAGGAATAAGTACTTCAATTCAGACAATGATCATGAAATTATCAAATCTTTTATGCAAGAAATTACCTGGAACATTTACCTGCATCCTCCATTTTATGATACCACAAACTGCCTCAATTATAGTAAGAAGCACCATCAAATTATCAAACAAAAATAAGCTTTTTACTTGAAATACATAAAAAATTGGTAGCAGAGGATAACATAAAATATGGCTTTTAAATAAAAATGGAAATAAAAAGGCTAAGAACCACTGGTTACTTCCACTGACTGGTTACCATAACTGAGTAATAATTCTCACCTCTTGGACTACTCACTAGTTTACTCACTTTTCTTTGAGTTGGGTTGCTCTCCTTTGATGATGTGCCAAAGCTGTAGGCTCTGCAGCCAAAGCCTGAAGTTTTCCATGAAGATAAAACGCAGTTCTCTGGCTTTTCTTTATTGTCTCAATAAAGGTGTCATATTCTCTTTTGATTGAAGTAAGAATGGATTTGTATGCAGTAACATACTCTATTACCTGAAATACAATTTTTTCTGCTTATGGTAATGAACTTTTTCTAGAAGAATACAGATCAAGAACTTGGCAAACAATTACAGATTATTAAAAATGAAACAAATGTGAAAATGAAAAAGCTAGGCTAGAAGAAAAGTTTTTTCTTCTAGAAGTATCAAATGATTTCCATTTCAGGTGGCCTCTCAGAAGAACAGAATTCTTTAAAGTATCAAATAAATGTACAATTACACACAATATAGATAGTTCAGACAGGAGGAGAGAAAAGAAACACTATATAAATAGATATTATTTTTAATGTAACCCCATGTATTTTCGCTAAGAATTAAATATACAAACATCAACTGAAAAATGATTTCACTATATCTATACTAATTTAAAGCAGACAGCTCTTTGGGTAAGAAAAATTCTGACAAGTCAGCATTCAGGCATACAATGATAAGCAGGTCACATAATTACCTTTGCTGACTTCACAGAAGAAGTATTAGCATGACATCTGATATTTATGAAACCTATTCAAGGTACTACCTTTATTTAAACATTCATGCAAAACATTCCTTAATAACTAACAGACCAACAGTAGTATCAGTGATCATCACAACATATAAAATGAGGATAATCTGTTAATGTACCAATTCCAAAAGACAGATTTTTCTGGATTTAAGTGGAGTAAAGATGTGTTTTCTCTATTTTATATTCTTATTCATATATAACAATTTTCTAGCCGGGCATGGTGGCATACGCCTGCAATCCCAGCACTCGAGAGGCTGAGGCAGGAGGATCATTGCGAGTTCAAAATCAGCCAGAGCTACAAAGTGAGCTCAAAGCCAGCCTAAACTGCATAGTCTCAAAAAAGACAAATTTTTTTTTCTTAATTCCACTGGTAGGTACTTTACACCCTCTTTTTCTTAGAGTACTGTTTGTTGGTTTCTGCTATTGGGAATTGAACCCAGGCCCTCACACTGAGCTACATCCCCAGCCCTATTTTATTTTTTATTTTGAGACAGAATCTCACTAAGTTACCCAGGTCAGGTTCAAACTTGTGGTAATCTTCCTGCCTTAGTGTCCTAGAGTGTTGGGATTACAGGCATGTACTACCACATCTGGCTAAGCTTCTAGATTTTTACTTAAAGGAGAAATAAGATACATAGCGTCATTTTTAAAAATTTTAAAAAAGATTGATTGTCTTGCAGGCACAAGGCCCTGGGTTCAATCCCCAGAACCACCAAAAAGAAAAAAAAAAAAAAGATTAAATAAAAAAAATTGATGTCCTGTTTTACTCAGAGACCAATAGTTTGCTGAAGTCTTAAAGTAAGCTCTTGCTCTAAGCAAAGAGGATGTTGATTTATTTTACTGTCAGTCCTTCTTCAAAGGGAGATTTTTTTAAAGACAAAATAATTAGAATCAATGGGAAAACTGTACTTGTTTATAAGGAAAGGTTATTGCTAAAATTTTAAAGAGCAAAGTCAAATATATAACACTTTTTACTCTGATCTCCATTAGTATTTCCTCTACATCTAGTCAAACCCCTTGTTCACCATGCTTATCTAGACCTGTAAACTATGAGGTCTCAATCTTTAAATCAAGCTTTTCTTTTTCCATTTGTTTATTTTATTTATTTGTTGTGAACCAGGGGTCTCACCATATTGCCCAGACTGTCCTTGATTGCCTGGTTTCAAGGATCCTCCAGCCTTGGCCTCCACAGTAGTTGAACTACAAGCACAGGCTACTGCGGCTGACTCAAAAGGTCTCAGTATACTGTGCTAGATCAAATCTAAATGAAGACTTTAGTGCTACCATAAACAAACCCCAACAACAAGGAATTCTTGTACACAACCTTCAAAATGAAATCAGAGAGCACAGCCAGATTATTCATCAGAATGGCTGCTAAACCCAACGTGACGGTGCATGCCTGTAACTCCAACTACTTGGGAGGCTGAAGCAAGAGGATCCCAAGTTTGAGGCCAGCTTAGGCAACGTAAAAGTCTGTCTCAAAATAAAAAATAAAATAAAAATGGGTGGGGGTATAATTTAGTCTGGGAGGCCATGGGTTCAATACCCAAGACCACCAAAAAAAAAAAAAAAAATTGGCCTGCAAAGCTAAAATAAGAAAACTCTTGGGCCATGGATATAGCTAAGCAGCATAAGCACCTGCTTGGCAATTGCAAGGTCCTGAGTTCGAGTCCCAGTACAAAAAAAAAAATAAGAAAGAAAACTCCCGTTAGCAGGTAATATAAATCCAGCATTGCATTTTCCCCATTCATCTCTTTCAGACAAACTGGATGAACTTCTCAAAAACGACAAGCAGAATGTAGTAAAACAATTAGTGTTATTAGAAAGGCAGGAACATTAGTTGGCAAGACAAGTCATTTCTATCTTCATGAAAACTTCATTATCTTAAGGGCATTGTGATACCTTATCAAAAACATTTCTGTATATGATATAATATTCATCAGCAGGTCCTTTCTCATTACAGCCCACTCTTTCAGTTTCTGTAATTATGTATCTTTGCATACTTTCCAAAAATTCCTTGTCACTTCTGCTAACGATAGGAGGGAGAACTGCATGCTTATGTATTTCTTGGGCTGACATAAGTCACGATATGCACACTTTTCACCAGAGGAACATGAAATCTTGACCAGTTTTTGCAACAAAGCCAAAATTTTGACAAGTCTGAAAGGAAAAAAAAACCATAAATTAATCTAAAGGATTAAAATTAGAAATCAAATATTAATCTAAAAATGAATACTTGTTTCAGAAAAAAATTTTCCATGGATAAATATTTTAATCTATGGATCAAAATATCACGTAATTCTTCTGATACTCCAACTCTGGGAACGAAATACCAAATACTGGTCAAGTAAGAGCCTATCCTTTTCTAACCAAGTACAACCTCTCTCATATATATCATTTAATTTATGATTTCTTATTTTAACTCAACACTCCCATGTATTTACTTACTTATTTATTTTGTTTTTTTAAGATAGGGTCTATTAGTTCAGGCTGGGCTTGAACTCACTGTGTAGCATAGGCTGGTCTCTAACTTGTGGCAATCCTCTTGCCTCAGCCTTCTGAGTGTTAGGATTACAGGCATGTACTATTCTAAGCACTTTTTTTTTTTTTTTTTTTTTTTTTTTAGCAGTCCTGATGATTAAACTCAGAGCCTTATGCGTGCTACATAAGCATTCTACCACCAAGATCCACCCCAACCCTTTCTAATTTTTTATATTACATTTTAATAGTAATTGTAAGGACACCTTAAGTGGATAAAAAAACATTGCAACTCAATGCTTTCTAATAGGAGGTTTAGTGTTTTATTAATTTGTTTCATGTGGAAAAATTAACTTTTACTATCCTTGATACAACAAAAAAGGTCAGTGCCTGCCTGGCCCAGTCACAGTCATCCAAGATACAATAGCTATAATTAGATTTTATAATAAATTTTATTATAATTCTTATCCTTCATATGAAAGCACTAACTGAAAAGTAAGAGGTAGGACTTCTGTTAAATTCTATCTGCCAAGGGTGGGGACATAGTTCAAGGTTAGGGAGTTTGCCTTACATGTGCAAGGTCCTGTATTCAATCTCTAGCCCCACAAAAAACAAAAAAATCTATTCATCAGTGATTTCAGATACCAGCACCTTTCAGAGTGTGGAGATTTATTACGTGGAGCTTTATTACTTGAGCAGATTTATTATGTTGCTTTTAGTGAAGAATCATTATCCAACTGAAGTTGGATACAGAAGTGGGTAACTAAGATCTACTCACATTAATATCAGACAGAACCCTTGGCTTGCTTTAAAACATGTGGCAAGTTAAAACATTTTAACTTCCCTCCAATTACAGAAGTATATGTTATGGCATGAAATTTGGAAAACATAGTCCTGGTATGGTACCGATGCCTAAAATCACAGCTACCAGGACGGCTGGACAGGAGAATCTCAAGTTCAAGGCCAGCTTGGAAAACTTAGTGAGAACCTGCCTTAAAATGAACAGGACGATCCTCTGAGAAGTTTGAACTCAGGCTGGGAAGGACATGAGGGCCCCAAATTCCATGGTGAGAGGCCAAGCCTGGCATGTGTGGCTTTCAGAGAGGGCTGAGCCTAAAAATGCTGTAACTTCAGTGGTCTGCTTACACCCCCAGCCCAGTGCCTACATGCAGCACAGAGATGAGTGGCCTGATTGCCACCAATATGAGCAAGAATACACCTTGGCTTGTGTGGTTGCCGCAGCTTGAGACATACAGACAGAAGAATCCTGGAGCAGAGGTTGGGGAAGTACCTCACAAACCCAGAGGCCAAAAAGCTACAGAGATAATGGTGACTTAAAGTACACAGAGGAACACGGAAAGTGGCAGTTGCCAGGGTAACTACAATATAGCCTTAGGGAGGACACCATTTTCCCAGAAGGAAAGGCAGGGCAGGATTTAGCATTCACAAAAACAGGGTTAGGGATGTAGCTCAGTGGCACAGTGGCAGTGACTCACTCTCTCTCCCCTATATCTGCTGGATTCCAAAACTGAATTCCCCGGAAATAAACCACTCATTCAAAAACAGAGAAGCTAGGTGTGATAGTACACACCTGTAATCCCAGCACTTCGCAGGCTGAGACAGAAGACTATCATAAATTTCAGGCCAGCCTGGGCTAATTATCGAGTTCAAGGACAGCCTGAACTATATAGCAAAATGATACCTTGTCTCAAAAAAAAAAAAAAAAAAAAAAAAAAGAAAGAGGAATTTTGGGGGACTCATTCCTTCTTTCTTCTTCTTCATTAAATTTTGGAGTTTGGTGGGTTTTTGCTTTTTAATTTTTTCCCTTTGAGTTTTTTTTCTTCTTCTTGTATTTTTTCTTTTTTTCTTTCTTTTACTATTTTTCCTTTGCTCTTTCTATTACTTTTTATCAATTTCTATTAATTTCCTTTCACTCCTTAAGAGGATCCTTTAGCTCACTTTTCTCTCCTCATTATTCATTGCTTAATTTTTCTTTTTCGTCTTTTTGAGACAGGGTCTCGCTACACAGTTCAGGTTGACCTTGAGTTCACTTTGTAGCCCAGGCTGGCTTCGAATTCACAACGATCCTCCTGCCTCAGCCTCCCAAGTGCTGGGATTACAGTCGTGTGCCACCACACCTGACTATAATTTTTCAAATTTTACTTTTATCCTTCTATTCTCCACCCCCTCTACCTTTACTAGTATAACCACTGTTTTAGTAATCTTTAGATAGTTAACTCTATGCTACTGCTATTGAATTCTTTTCTATTATTAGTGGAGGTACACTTGTATTTAGTAGCCATTTATTGTACGTCAATATTTAGTCTGCCATAATGTGTATACTGTAATTATAGATGCCTTGTCTATGTTTAAAGGTGATATACTATTGGCTCTTATGGTAGGTCCATATCCAGTGTATCTTTGATATTAATATTGCTGCTGATTTTGTTGCTTTTGCTAGGGTGGCATAATTGTAGCTATTAATTGGTTTTCTCAAATGCCAATACCTGGATTGCCTTTGTATCATTAACAATAATATAGCCCATTTCTAGAGAACTGGTACTGCATTCTTCCCTCCAAAATTTATAAACATGATTAGATCTTGGGACAGAGGCAAAGGCCTATAGTTAGCCACACCCAGAGTATATCACTGAAAAGCAGTCACTAAAGAAGTCTCCATACTAGCAAACAAGTCCTGACCCACAAACCTCATCACAAAACCAAACAAACTAAAAAAAAAAAAAAACAATGGAAACATGAGAAGACCAGGCAACAGAATGCCTCCAAAACTCCCAATTCCACCAAATGTGATCCATGGGATTCCAAGGGGACAAAATCAAAAAGCCAAACAGCTGAGTTTAAAAAAAAAGAGCCGGGCGTGGTGGCACAGGCCTGTAATCCCAGCACTCAGGAGGCTAAGGTAGGAGGATCGCTGTGAGTTCAAGACCAACCTGGGCTACAAAGTGCGCTGAAGGCCAGCCTGAACTGCACAGTGAGGTAAAAAAAAAAAAGAAAAAAAAAGGCAAAAAAAATAAATTAAATTAAAGAAAAGATCAATAAGGTACTGAGCAGGTATAAAGAAGACATAACGAAACCAGTAATGGATTTAATAAATAAAATCATCAGTGAGTTTATAGAAGATAGATGAGCTAAACAAATAATACAAAAAATGAATGACCAGGTTGGTAAAGATTTAGAGTTCATGAAAAGGTACCAAACAGGAAATCCGGGAAATTAAAACCTCTATTGAAAGTATAGGCAAGAGAAGTGATCAGTGTGAGGAACAAGTGTTAGAACTAGAAGACAGGACTAATACCAGAGACAATACACTCAAGGAAATCTTAAAAACAAAAAGAGACCCAGGCATTGTGGCACATGCTATAGCACTAGGGAGGTGGAGACAGGAGGATCACTGTGAGTTCGAGGCCAACCTGAGTTACATAGTAAGTTCAAGGCTAGCCTGCACTACAAACCTGTCTCAAAAAACAAAACAACAAAAAAAAAGGAGAGAGAGAGAGAGACGATATGAAAAACAGATCCAACAGCTGCTAGATGATATGAAGGGGCCTAATCTAAGATTAACTGGAATTGGTGAAAAATCAGAAAACTACACAAGCCAGGCATGGTGGCACA